GGAAGTCTATGGTACCGAACCAGAGATAGGACTGGCCATCAAAGAGAGTGGCGTCCCACGGGAGCAGCTTTTTGTGACAACCAAAGTGATCACGAATATTGCGGACATCCCCAGAGCGATAGATGCAAGCCTGGATAAACTGCAACTCAGCTATGTGGACCTGTAAGTAGTGCACCTTATCCTCACAGTACATGACTTTGCGTCGACCTACGAGATTGATACGCTCTATTACACCTTGCAGATATCTGATCCATTCCCCATTCTTCGCCAAATCGGACAATGAGTTGCAAGAAGCCTGGGCTGCCATGGAGAAGGTCAAGGCCGCTGGGAAGGCCAGGTCTATTGGTGTCTCCAATTTCCTGCAAAGTCACCTAGAGGCAATTCTCAAATCCGCCAAGGTCACTCCCTCGATCAACCAGATTGAGTACCACCCATATCTACAGCATGGCGGCCTTGTTCCGTTCCAGGAAGACAAGGGAATCAAGACAGCGAGCTACGGACCTCTTACACCCATTACTCGAGCAAAGGATGGGCCCCTCGGGGAGCTACTGCAAAGTCTTGCCTACAAATATGGGGTCAGTGAAGGCGAGATCCTGCTCAGGTGGTCCATAGACCGGGGAGATGTTTCAATCACGACAAGCAGCAAGGAGTCTCGTCTCAGCAGCTATTTGCGTGCGTTGCTCTTCCGACTGACGCCGAAAGAATTAGACGAAATTTCCGCTATCGGACGCCAAAAACATTACCGGGCATTTTGGAGGGATAAATTCGCAGATGACGATCGTTCTTGATTCAACGTGTAGCGGCAGCCAGAAGCCTCTCTCCTTCGCTGCTCGAGGGAATTATGGCCCGGCTTTGAGGGTATGTACCTGCGATTTGAGGTGTACTTTTGTTGACACGGGAGCATATGGTCCGATGTGCGCTCATGGCGGAGATGTCCCGCTGTGCAGCGTACTCACCTTGATACACTATATAATTATAATGAAAATCGTGATAGAAAAAAGAACGTAAAGACCTGGTAGGTCGAATCCACTTCGGAGCAAAAGCAGAGCATATTATTGTCTCCACGCATTCATAAGTTCCAATTAGGCCATCTCTATCCCTTGGCGATGTAATCAGTAGCTTCAGAGACATGGAGTTCCCTCTTTCATACTGCCAAGCATCTCCGCACCAGGCCCAACCCAAGGTAGCTCACCAACACCGGAGATCATCATCCTCTGAGGAACTATTCTACCCTCCAATGTCAACCCTTCGTGTCCTCAAATTTGAACTCGATCAGCGGGTGCATCGGGAGCGTTACCCATGGCTCTGTGAATCCAAAATTACTTTTGGCGCGGCATACAGCGTTGCTTGCCCATACAAGCCCTTTTAGATAGAGTTCCCACGCATTAATTATGCTGGATTAAGCTTGTTTCTCTCGCGCTGAGCCTGGGAACACAAGGAGATTGTCTTTCGGACGCATTCGTCTGGGTTGACGGCATCGGCGAGTGCTTGTTCTGTGAATCGCGTTTTCCCCTCAAGCTAGAGTCGCAACCCCGTCGTTACACAAGGTTAGCAACAGTTGGACCAAGTCGACAAGACTGATTATCATTTTAGCTTCATGACGGATTTCCCAATTCCAAACAGGAGATTAACCTTTCTATGTCCGTCTATCTTTAGGCCGCGAGTTTTCCTACGTGCGATTCCGGAAGACAAAGGCTCGAAGTGTTTAGCGCCCTCTAGAACACGCTTCAAGAAAGACAAGAAGCAAACCGAAACTCAAACAATATTGTCTTCGTCTACGCCTCGTGCCATCCTCGCACGCAATACATGATTAATTGAGGGACTGCAATGTCGGTGAATCGTCGACTTACTCTTCCTGTGGACGATGATATGAGAAATTCCAAGTCTGCGCTACAACAAACATCTGCGCCAGAAATAGTCTCAGTCGATAAACGACTGGAACGCCTTAACCAAGAGGTCCTTCCTTTCTATCCGTTCTTGCTCACGGTTCCCACCGATGTGCCTTTCCGTCCTGGTGCCCGATTTATCAACAACTGGGCAGTGGGTGATGACGGGCCTTTCACTCCAGACGAACAAGAACTACAGTACATGACATTTTTGACTCACCAAGACGGTGACTCTTTATTAGTGGCCGTGGGGGATTGGTCAGACGGAACAGGGAACATTATGTCAGACAAGCGCTCAGGGCCTCAAAGTGCGGCAAGCACGCCATCAGCTGGGTCGTTGAAGAAGAAGATCAGCTTGAACGATTACAGGAATAGGAGAAAGAGCGGTGCTTCAGTCTCGCCTATCAATCAAGAGCCTGTTACACAGACTTCAGCTCCCCATACCTCCGAAGACAAGCGATCAGGGATGAAGGCCACTACGTCCGTGGACCATTCGGGAAAACAGTCACTCAACTCACTATCGACGAAGTCATCAGTCAGATATGTACCCGAGAGTGTAGGGCGTAAAAGGCCGCCAGAGCTCGGTCATGTGCATCTAGGGTTACATGAAGGGGAGCAGGCAGATGTAGTTTCTTCAAAGAAAGCGAGGCTTTCGCCGAGGATGATCGGAAGCAAGAGTTCTGAGTCCTCGAAGACCAACGGGTTGCCTGATCTACTATCACCAACTTTACCACCCACTTCAGACAGCCCCAAATTACCCAGGCTATTGTCACCAACTCTTCCGCCTGACATTGAGAAAGAGCTAGCGAGACTTGATGGAAGCCGCCCAGTGTCAAGCTCGTTCAAACTACTAAAGCATCTTGATTCTGCATCGTCGAAGGAGAGTGTACAGAACCCGAAGCCGCATGACCACGGCAAACTGCAGCCATACGCAACGACTGGGCCAAGCTTGCATGGTAGAAGCCTGAACTCGACGGCCGATAAATGCATAGCTACTCCTATAGATTCTAGGGTCTCTGATTTCGGTGACACACCAAATCTTGACTTGCAATCTCAGAGGGGTGAACAAACGCAACCTTCCACAGATACCAAAGAAAGTATGGCATCGAAGCCACGGCTGGTGGTAAAATTGAAATACGGAAGATCGAATAGGAAGCGCATCGAGGCTCTCTTGAAATTTTCTGCCAAGAGGAAAGCAGTTCTCACATCTTCGCCCATTAACCAGCAAGGGGATTCCGAGAAAGCCCGAGTGACCAAAGCTCAGCTTAACGAATCCAATACTTCCGCACTCGAGCATACCAGCCACAAATTCCACCGGCTGGAGGGCACAGTCAAGGATACGGTCAACGTGGACGCAAGTACTTCAATGAAAGAACGATCGAAGGAGCCCAGGGTGCCAACCCCAGAAAAGTCCCGACTTCCTGCGTCCCCTACCCCCGTCTCGATATCAAATCAATCGAAGAACTTCGCGGGGTCTCCGACCAAGGATGCAAAGAACTCTGCTGCTCGTATCGAGACCTTCCATAGCGCGGGGAAGTCGACGTCCTATCATTGCACCAAAGATCAACCGGGAAGCCAGGTGAACTCTTCGAAGTCAGCATCCGCGGATTCTGATAATCCTGTGTCTCGGTCCCGGAACTCTGAGCGTCGAGCTTGGAAGGACGAGTACCAGAGACTTGGAAACTTGGGTAGGGAGTTGAAGCATGCTGCAGAGAGGCATACCAACAAAGATGCGGTGACTGCTGCTGATGAAAAACTTGCAGTTGTGACGGCGATAGAGGCTGTTCTTTGTTTCATTCTCGCATTTGTTGCTGACGATCAGTTTAAAGCTTTGGCCCGTCAAGTTGGCGACTCATCGACCTGGCTATCTATACTCGCCTATTGGCGTGTTGTGAAAAAGAACAGTGTCCCTTACCCGAGACTCCACAGTCTCTGTTTGATTCTTGGTGCTGTCTCTTATGATGCGATTCACGCTCTGGACTTGGAACGCCTCGCAGTTACTCCATTGCCAGGAGATCATACTCCTGTGCCCACACCGGGAAGTGACGGCACTACTGTCACGTCAGATGAGAACAAGAAGAATCGAAGAGATATCATTGAGTTAAAAAACCGATTACCTGACTTTTACAAGGAGTCCCAGAGACTGTGGCTCGAGGGCTTGCAGGGCCTTTCAGAGGATATTCTTGCCCGTGAATTTCCTGACACCTGGTCTAGACGCTCAAGAAGATATTCGCATCTGGGAAAGCAGAAGCTCAAGATCGGAGACTATACTGGGGAGTTTCTTTTTCCACCCGGGAAGACATCAGCACCTGTGGAAACTGTTCGGTTTGGGTGTGCGATTCTCAGAGAGTGGTGTATGAAAGAAGGCGTGGATTGGAGCTGCCGACTGGATTTATGACAAGGTGACAGATTATTATGCTATGGCTGCTGTTCTTACGAACCGTGACTATTTGTTTCCTTCCTGGATTTCTGTTGGCTTTTTCTGGTTTGTCAGTCAGTCAATTCAAGCCAGCGGGCGTTAAACGAGTCTACTTTCTGTTTGCCGTTGTGCCGTGATACCACAGTTTCGAGTCTTTCCAGAATTAGACAAGTGATAGCACAGTTTTAGGGGTTCCCAAAATCATGACATGCGACTATCCTGTCTGCGTATAACAAACCATGTAGTTCTAATGGATGGGAATACTTCGCATATTCTGGGCAACTTACTGCAAAGTTGAGACTATTTGGCCCACGATGGGATGATCATCGAAGTGGCTTTTAAGATCTGTTCCACATCATCATTTGATGAGTAGTCTAGTCTATGCTGATTATCGCAGCCTCCCACTGAACATGACACTTACGATAACGTCGCGCGAAAAGAAAAGGTGGAATCTTGATATTCAAAAGAGAAGATGCAAACCCAAGTATTTATGATGTGATGCGATCTTCAAATAACGCATGAATAAATGCAATGGTCTCAGATAAAAGAAAAGGTATAAAATAAGATCCCAACGTCATGACATAGGGCCATCTACTCATATCGGTGTTGAAAACGAGGCCCATTAAAAGGGCTGGATTCGAATGTGGAAGCGATCGAGGAATCAGCTATGGATATGAAGGACTTGTCCAGAATGCTTACGGCTCAGCCTGATGATGTGCATGGGATGCATGGCGAAGGTCATTCGCCAAACGTTCACCGAAAAGCCAGCCAGCTTCGCGGCAATACCGGGCTTCTCCACCACGAGTACCAACTTCACTACTCCAGCAGATGAACGAGGCATCGACAATATCTGCGATGACGCCTTCAGCCGCTCCTAGGATACTCCAGCCAATGATTCCCGCAATGAGTCCGACCACATAGGCATACATACTGCCATGAACTCCATTACTCGGGCCGGGGACCTCGAGGTTCCGAGCAGCGCTTACCCATCCTCCAAAACCAAGTGCCAAAGACATCATGAAGCGAGCGGCGTGGAGAAAGAGCTTCGAAAGCCGGTAGGAGAGGAGCGGTGCAGAACCCGCATGGGACAAAGAAGTCGACCTCGGATGGAGTGGCGGCACTGCCGTCGCAAGTGAGACACTCGGCATTTCAAGGAGGCCACGAGCAGATAGTATGAGGGGTTGAGAATGAATAGCGGCGTAAGTGAGAGTAAGAGGGTCTGTGAGCGCCGCGAGGGGAGAAGGAACGAGTGAGTACACGAAAAGATTCAGAAGCCGAGATAGGCGAGTCGGCAGCAACAGAAGTGGCAGCCGAGTAGATAATGCTATCAGCTTAGAGAAACAGACTGTGCCAAACAACGTGGTGACAGAATGGACAAAAGCCGCCTGTACTATCTGCCTGGATGTGGGTTTCGGGCTCGCAAGACGGTGAAAGTACCACTGACTCACTGTTGCAGCTGTAACTGAACGTTGGATACCGGCGATGACTCCCAATGACCAGATGTAAACGAAGGCAAAATATGTTCCCAGCCACCAGCTGCTGATGTTGAGGGCAAAAGCGTGCGATTCTGACATGTGCCCACCTAGAAAAACTCGAGCGAACATCAGCATCCAGACCCACGTCCAGGAGACAATACAAATCAGGATGCCAAGGCCAAGGAGTAATAATTCCAGGTTTGCAGCGAGAATTCGGCAGGCGAACTCAAGGATGTCGATGGCTTTGCCAATTGCGTGGCGGCTGCGGACAACATTATATATCCAAAAGCTTGAAATAATGAACGGCAGGAGAGAGACGACCCTCATGGCTTTGTCCTGAATACTAGTCCCATGCCAGATTCCTTTGAAGCTCGAGATGAAGGGGTAAAGCGAGAAAGAGTATAGTATAACAGGGACTGCAAAGATCATTGCATAGACCAAAGGGCGCACGTAGTACCGCAGTGACGCCAGCCAAAGAAGTGATATAAATATCGAGACCACCGTATAGATGCCGAGGAGATAGAAGGATCCATGGACAGTGAGATATATCGTGTCGCCCCATCTCGATTTGTCACCCGAAGGCGCAGATGTGTGCAAATAAATGAGAAATGAGGTAGCAAGTAGGCAGCCCAGAGATATCAAAAAGAGCTTCCCCCAGAAAGTATCATGGGCGCCAGATTGCGTCTCCCCTAGTGAATAAGGCTCAAGACCACCGTCCGCTATGCTTGATTGTTCACGGTCATCGAGAAGTTGTTGCTTATCTACCTCGCTCGGCCCGAGGAACGTCTCAATACCAAGAATCCTTGGCTCTGAGCTTGCTTGTTCCCGGAACAACTGGACGGATGGAGGACTATCATCAAGACCCTCAAGTGACCCAGCCTTGTCAACATTCTCGTCTGACCTCAATGTATCTTCAAGACGAATATCGACCAGATTTCCTTTGAGACTACGACTTTGTCGGACTTCGTTGGGACCTCCATGGTCATCGGCTGTCATCGCAATTGACTCAAATGCACGACCGCTTTCCCTGTCCATAGACTTACTGCTGGCAAGCCAAGAGCTTCTGATCCTCCCGCGCTTGACATATTTGTCATCCTGGAGAGGCTGCTGCTCAAGGCTGATCGAACTGTCGCCATCCCCTCCAATTTCCGAAGAATCTTTGAGTTGGCTGCTGCCAAAATGCCGCCTTGACCTTTGCAAGGCGTAGAAGTCCGCAATCTCGCGCTCCCGCTCTGCTTCATCATCCTCGTCACGGAAATCATCTGTGGCGCTGAAGAACAGAGGCGCGGGCTGAGCCGCATTTCGTGAACCGAAAGGACGATTAGAGACCTGGGACGTGGCTTGGTGGTAAGGATCTAGTGTCATTCGGAAAAATGCTCGCGATGAAGAAAGGCGAGAAATCCCAGATCGTGCATTGAGACGATCACTGCCATTACGACGTGCATCATCGAGAGAAGGGCCTAGTCGTGACTGTGACTGAGCAAGGAAGCGCGAGGCATCTGTGTTACCGATGTGAGTCACGCTAACAGAGACCAGCAGGAATGATGCAAAGGATAGCAGGGTAGCTCTTTATTAGTTTGGAATGCATACACTCTGAGAACATGACCTGTAGTGTGCCTGGACTTTCTAGAGGTCCTGATTCATGCTAAACGAAGGTTCGTGTTAAAGTCCTCAGTTGTTATCGTGACTAGAGTCTCTAATGGTGTGTGGCTGGACAATTTGCGGTGAGCTAATGTTCAGTATCACAGGTATATTGGATGTAAATGAAGCGAAGACAGGAAAGAAACATCATCTAGAGAGTCAGTCTCTCTATTTTTAAACCACTGAACATGAGTGAATCTGAAAGAGGTCCAGTTAAGATGTTGGTATAAATCCATGGACTTGCTCATGTGAAGCAGATATTCAGAGATAACGGATGATCTGACGGGAGCACACTCGTCATATGGCCAGCAGGGTCAGTGGAGATGACTCAGCAGATGTTCCCCAGGACCATGCTCCGTACATTTTGGATACAGAGTCAAATTGATCCCACGTACCTCCTCATCGAAGCATCCAGAACAAGAAATTTAGCGTACCGATGTGGATCTCTTGCGGGAGGCATTGGAGTATGAGTTGAAATATATTGATACTGGCCACCTCCTGATAACTGATTCCATAGAACATTATCTACACCGATCCGACCTTTTTTGTATCCATGTCACAGCCATGGGATTACATCGCTAAGCTTGTCTGTATTGGAGACTCCGGCACTGGAAAGTCTAGTGTGAGTGTGTCACGCCCATTTACCCGGTTTTTATGTTGAACCTCAGACAAAGTTGTGCTGACCTGCGTGTTGTTGTAAAGTTGACCATTCGACTCTGCGAAGGACGCTTCTCTTCCAGTCATGATGTTACTATTGGCGTGGAATTTGGCTCGCGTATTGTTCCAGTTGGGCCTCCAGCATCAAAGAGTCTGGGGGTAGATTCCAATGTTTCTGACTCTTCTGCTCTGCCATCTTCAACGGGGACAGCATTGGTTGCATCCCACGAGTCTGTTGCCTCGGGCCTCCCGAGCCCTCCACGAAAACCGCTAGGAGATCAACCACAGAAAAAAATGAAGCTCTCCCTTTGGGACACCGCCGGCCAGGAGACTTACAAGTCGATAACTCGCTCGTATTTTCGTGGTGCCTCAGGAGCCCTCCTCGTTTTTGACATCACTCGTCCCTCTACATTCACCTCTTGCACCCAATGGTTGCAGGATCTTCGGCAAATTGCAGAAGATGGTATTGTTGTAATTCTGGTTGGAAATAAGAGCGATCTCGCGGAAGTGAAATCCGACGTGAATCAGAGGCGTGTCACCAGGCAAGAAGCGGAGGAGTGGTGCCGCATGAACAATGTTGTTCGCTACGTTGAAACCAGTGCAAAGTCCGGTGAAGGCGTCGAACGCGCATTCCTTGAAGTTGCCGAGAGGATTTATCGCAATATCGAGGCAGGAAAGTACGACCTGAACGACCGTCGAAGCGGTGTAAAGGGTTTTGGGGCTACAGGGGGAGCAAGCGCAGGAACGCCGAAAACCATCACTTTAGGCTTGAATGATGCAATGCGCAGTGGTGGAAATGGTTGGCGCGGAGCTTGTTGCTAGCCTGAAAAATGCATTTTATCTGAGCCCTCTTGAACGTCATGGTGGTAATATAGGATATTTCGATGCATGACATGGCTCATCTACTATGCACTTATATATCATACTACCTGCTTGTTTAAAATTAAAGATTGTGTTTGGGCAACTCCTTTCACCTGAGTATCACCATTCTTATTCCTGTAACAGCCACCATGCCTAGGCTGGCAGATGGAAAGAATTCATGGATGAGGAGCACGAAACGAAGCATCACTATTGATTATGCTTCCTGATTATAAATAGAGCTCTCAAGGTATCAAGATATTGCCATTGCTACATAATAGCATTGTGTAGTTGTAGGCTGAGATGTTAGTATATAGATGTTAGTATATAGAGTGCTGGCAGTGGTAACGGATTGGTATACATTGCTTGAACATTGAAGTTGGAACCAGCTGAAAGCTTAATTATATGCCGATGGGAGGTGTTGCTTGTCCCAGAACTCCAGCACACTTGGTGTGCAGATGGTGGAAGGCTTCGCTACGTCCGTCTGCCTTCGCGCAGATAAGCCAACGTCATCGGAGAATTCAGTATTATACGGAGTTAATCATTCCGAGAATAGCAACAGCAGCGTCAGACACATTTTGACATACATCGCACGATCGAATCATGGACACAGAATTGTTCAAGCTGACATTCGTAGGTGCCTGACATCCAAATCAATTCGCAATCCGCCAACCGCTCAGCCAGTTCAGATTGGCCCATTGCTGGCTAGGTCCCTCAATGCCGAACACGATGACCCGGAAATGAACAAACATCCCGATGATGACCATGTAAAGGAAGGCATACAGAGACCCACGAGCCACAGGACTCATTTTTTGAGTAAGCCAGTCGACACAAAAACCGAAGGTAAGTATGGCATAATAGAGCGCAGGGTAATAATGGTGAACATAGGTCACCCGAGCCATGATTATGAAAGGGAAGTAGTGTAGGATCCATCCGAGCAGAGGATAGAAGCCGGAATAATGGATGTGATCGATGTCCGCTTGGTTGAGATCCTTGTAACCCCGCTGCCAGCGGGCCAGATACCAGAATATTAAGAGTCCAAAAACCCCGAGACTGACTGTACTGCCCCAGTAGACAAAGGGATTTCCGAGGAGATAATACTTAATGGTGTTGTCATCCCAGGAGCACATACGAAGGCCCACATTAAGTATTGGCCATTGCCAGAATTTCGACGCAAGGTCATCTTGTTTGTCTGGATCAGGAACAAGCGCGTTGTTCGATGTCATCATGGCGACATTCAGATGAATGAAATCCTTAAAAAAGGGGGACTTGTACGATCCTGGATCACCAGGTGGAACTGCGAGAATTTCACGTCAGACCAGGGTACCAGCTTGCTCGAGGGGGAAGAAAAGGTAATGTCTGCCCGGGGGGTGAAAACAGCAGAGGAGCGACAGGCTGAGCGAGCAATGGTCAGCCTTCTCGGTTGGTACTTACGTCGATCATTGAAATGAGACTCCACGTTCCAATGCGTGTAGACGTCGCGAGGATTGTTCTCTTTAACGCATGTGGTCTCGATCTGCTTAAAACCCCACTGTGGGAGGTTCACGTTGCCGGCGCGCAGATAGCAGCCCAGAACGATGTGTCTCAGGCGGAATGCAGTTGTCAGGGTTCGAATCCTGCTTCGGTCCCTTGACGCGACATCATCGACAACCTCCACTGCCCAGTGATCTTTTTCGTCCCCAATAGTGATGTTACCATAGCAGGAGACTTCGTATTGAGATTTGGTGATAGGAGCCGGGATGGCATGCGAATGAAGGTTTCGGCCCGTTTGCCCATGAATAAGACGAATAATATCGCCATCACCAACAAAAGACAGAGGTCCGTTGGCGTCATACTCAGGTTCATGGCGGTTGGGGTAGATGAACCAATCGTTGTTTGCGTCCTTGTGATGGTAACAAGTGACCTGCTGCTGATTGGAACCGTCGGGATAAGTTTGAACATGAGAATGCAGCAGTCCTCCACCATAACCCATATTTTTTAAAGTGACCCTAGAGCCAAGCGCAATTTCGAGAGGGCTGTCCTTTCCGACTTCGGTGCCCTTTAGGTTGGCCTGAAAGAGAGAGCTCATCTGCGCGTCGCCCGGTCCACTGTTTTCAAGAATCCAGAAATGCACGTAAAAGGAAAGCATATATACCACAGCTGGTATAATAATCAATCCGACTACGCGAGCCAGTAGGTGATTGACGAGGACTGTCTGTTCACAAGGTCAGGTAACACAGCAGTATTCTGGAACTCCCTTCAGTACTGACCTTCGGCATCCTAAGATCGCCAAATTTATTCCACAAATCTTCAATTGTATAGAGTCCCACTAATGCTGTGCAAAAAAGACCCACCCATTTGACACTGCATACGCAGCCGATACTTATACCTGTCAGGAAGAGCCACGTGAACCACTGACCTGAGAAGCTAGCATGCTGTAACCGATGAAACTTAGCCCAGCACATGGTGGTCGTAAAGGTGAAGCAAAGTAACATCGAGTCAAGCAATATGAACCTTGAAATGGTCGCGTAGGAGTTTTCGAACAAAACCATCAGACTGATTAGCCAAACGGTGGCCTTGCGGAAACCTAGCTCTCGAGCAGTGTAATAAGCGAGAGGAACGCACGCAACACCGAAAGCGGCGTTGAAGACACGCATGAATGTAAAGTTGACATCGTCTGGGTATTTCTCTCCTGATTTGAATTCAAAGGATCCGTTGTATCCAGCAAGGAGACCGGATAAGCCAACAAGCATCTTTCCCAGTGGCGGGTGAACATCAAAGTAGAATTCTCGCTTCAAGTAATGTGAACCGAATTTCCCAAAGCTGGTCGACAGTAATTAGACACTATGGTAGTTTCGCATGGCTAAGGTTATGTAACGTACTGGGCTTCATCCCATGTCACAATGTTCGAGCGACCTATGCGGTACATACGGGTGAAAACAGCCAAGGCTGTCAGCACAATCGGCACAATGAAAGGTTCCCAACTATATAGTATTGAGGAGAAAGAACTGGGCTGTTTGGCAAAAGGGTCATTAGCTGGCGATAAGATGCGACGCTTTGCAGGTGAAACAGGATGAGTATGACCGTCATACCTTAGGCCTCGACTTTGCGTCCTTGTCCTCGAGATTATGAGATGAGAAGAGCTTATCAACTTTCTCTCCGGCGTGAACATTCCTACGCCGCAAATCGGAGCCGACATTGGCACCGGTAGTTGATGCGACATCCATTTCCGCCGTGGTGGATGGTCTCATCCTAGATCGATGCGAAATCAGCGTTCACGTTGCAAGGGCACCAGTGGAAATTGGAACGCATACAAAACAGTCTTTTGAAATACTGAGTTTAGGGAAAGAGAATGAGTTGGCGTAGATGACTCTCAGGGGCAGTACACGGGCATATCAAATTCTCAATTGAAGAGGTTGGTATCCAGATTATAATGAGCGTGAGCCTACAGGGTCCTCGACAGATCTTCAGGTGGAATCAAAAATGTACTTTTGTAAAAATTGGAAGGGTCGAATAAAAAGTAATGAGGGTTAGGAAAATCAAAAGAAAACGAAGCAAAAGGCAGAGGTGGCTACAGCAGGCATGAAACGAAAGGCTAGTAGAAGCTGGGTTGAAGCATGTGGTTTAAGACTGTAAAGGTAGGTAGTAAGTAAATGGATAGTTGGCCTGCAAATTCCACGGAAAAAGTGGTTCGGCATTGGATCGGCCCCGCTCTGGCCACCTCATTCTGCTCCAAGACACCAATAATGAGTGCTTACCCATAATTGTTGCGGCTTGCCTAACATAATCCACGGGTGAGGCGCGGATACGGGTGAACCGCGGATTTCTGCGGATTTTCACTGCTACCCAAGCAGTATTCTTCAACGCGTTATTTTTTTGTTATTCCCATACAAAATGCCTTTATCCAAGGAAGCTCATATTCAAATGGCTATTACTGCATGGAAAGATAAGAAAGTCAAATCAATATTAAAAGCTGCGAAGCTATATAATGTAGCTGAATCCACCCTTCGCGAGCGGCTTGCTGGCGTCAAACCACGGTCAGAAACACACGCAAATAACCTCAGATTATCTTTAATTGAAGAAGAAACTCTTGTCAAGCAACTGCTAGATGCAGATAAATAAGGCTTTTCAATTCAGTCTGACTTTCTGCGTGAAATGGCGCAAATTTTACTTCAGGAACATACACAGGACCCTACTATAGTTCTTAGTATCAACTGGTCCTATTCCTTTACCAAACGCCGTCCTGAACTACGTTCAAGATATAATCAGAAGATTACATATGTGAGGGCAAAGCAGGAAGATCTAAAGGTTATAAAACCATGGTTTGAAACTGTACATGCAGCAATTCAAGAACATGGTATACATCAAGATGATATTTAGAACTTTGATAAAACTAGCTTTACAATGGGACTCTATACAGCATCAAAGGTTATTACTACAGTGGAACACAGTGAAAGACCTCAGAGAGTTATCCAAGGGAACCAGGAATAGGTCACAATTATCAAATGTATGAGCTCTAAGGGGATTCATATACCACCAGTCATCATCTTAAAAGGAAAAGAACACCAGGCTCCTTAGTATCAAGAGGCCAATCTTCCTCCAGATTAGAAGCTTACAAACAGTCCTAATGGCTGGACAACAGATGTGATAGGCCTTAAGTAGTTGAAGCAAGTTTTTGACCCTTTTTCTAAACTACATTCAACCGGCGCGAAACAGTTACTTATTCTTAATGGTCATTCAAGTCATCTAAATGCTAAATTTGACCATTTCTGCAAGGAGAATGCAATTATCTCTCTTTATATGCCTCCACATACATCTCATCTTCTTCAACCACTGGATGTTGGTGTTTTTGGGCCACTCAAACACACATATAGAAAATTAGTTGAAGACATGATAGCGGCTGGAAACAACCACATTAATAAAGAGGATTTTCTATACCTATATCCTTCTGCACGTGAAGCAGTCTTTACTCAGAAGAATATATGAAATGGCTTTGCAGGATCTGGTCTTAAACCACTTGATAAAGACCAGGTGCTTGCAAAAATCACCTTTCAACTTCATACGCCAACACCACCTCTTATTAAGGTTAAAGGGTCAATATCTTCTGCTTTTCAAACACCTCAGAATTCTCATCAACTTGACCACAAGTTCCGCAGCCTACAGAAAAGTCTTCAAAAGAAAAGGACTCTTTCTAGTAGTCTAATTTCTCATATCCAACACCTTAAAAAGGCCGCGCAGATCGCAATGAATACCAACCTTCTTCTTCAGTGAGAAATCAAGGTTCTACAGGCTCAGAATGAGCAGAAAATAAAGAAGAAGGCAAGGAGGCGTGCGGTTCTAGGAAATGATCTCTTTATATCTATACAGGAAGGTTATGATCACATTCAGCAGCTTGATACACTTGCTGAAGGGCAGATTAAAGGGCAGGTTGATAAGACTACATCTAGACTTCAGCAGCGAGCTCCACCACGCTGTAGTGGGTGCTGGAATATTGGACATAATAGAAGGAGTTGTCCTAATAAATAGTCATACATTCATATACTAGATAGTCTAATTTTAATGGCGTTGATGGTTGAAAAGCTTCAAAAATATATTAGGAGAGGGGAAAATCCACAGAAATCCGCAGTTCACCCATATCCGCGCCTCACCCGTGGATTACGTTATGATGGAGTACATCTATAGTCTTCGAGTCTTTGGCGTGGCCCATGGCGAAACTATTTGAGTTTCGCCGCGTATGTGAAACAACATACACTACCAAAAACCGTCTTGAAACCAGAGGTCAAATTGTAGAACTCTGTGGGATATAGGATGCTTATGTGTTATCTCGCACAAATATGCAGACGCATTTTTGTCCCGACTGATGATGGTAAATTAGCTGTTCAGACAGTACATGCTCACAGGTGGACGTGTTACGAAAAGGAGGGTGACAAAGAGAGATGAATGAAATGAGAAGCCCAGGATGAGACTTCTCCTACCAAAACCAGGACCCGCCCCTGACCAGAACAGAATAATCTTCAATCAGGTATTAACAAATTCAAAGATCTAATGAAGCTCCTCCTACATTGGAGAAATTCAGGCCGCTATATCACACGTACATAGACACTGCCGAAGAAGAAACAAGCCCGTACTGACCTATGTGGTCAAATCCGCGCCGTCTAGTTCTATCCACAACACGACGTAGATACACCAAAGCAAGATTGTTTGTTGCCGCCAAACCTCTGTACCCCTTGGTCAAAGGAGAAGAGAAAGATGAAGCAACAGCGAGACCACAAAGAGAAGGAATAGATATATCGCCAAAAGCGCAAAGGATAGAAAAGAAGAGAATTAGTACTGTAGAAGCAACAAAATTCTCGGAAACGAAGAGGAGCACAAGATGATATACAGTCAAGGACCGTTCTAATCGTTCTCACCCTCCTCTTGCCCCAGACGCCTATACTGATTATTTTTCGCTTGCGGTCCCGGTGCTCTGTGGCGACTGACCATATTTGAAATCCAGCCGCCAATACCTTCAGGCCGTCCGCTGCTTTCATCCAAAGGATTAAGCCCTGCAGGTTTAGAATTCTCGTGGGTGTTGATGGTAGGTGGATCAATATCTAAACCAGGAATGGCGCTTTCCGTTCCAAACTGACCATACTGCCGTCTGATGTCCAGGGAAGGCACGGGCGAGCCGCCGCTCATAAGCGATCCACGCTCAGCTTGTGTTGCGGGTGTCGGCACAGCAGTCGTTGCATCTCCAAATAGGACGTCCATATCTTCCAGACGTACACCGCTCGTTTCGGGGTAGAGGAAGTATACTTAAAAGGTACCAATTAGTGAATGATGAATTGTCGGATCTGCAATGTGAGGCTCACCGAGTACAAAACTACAAGCACAAAAGAAGGCATGGACAAGGTAAAGACGCCATTTGATCGCTGCCTGAAGGACAGGAGTCACTTCTCCGACGAGCCAGTTGAAGGCCCAGTTCGTAGCTGTGCTAAGACTGGCCCCCTTGGCACGGATGCTCAGGGGCAAGATCTCGGGAGGGTACAGCCAGGGGATCGGGCCCCAGGATGCGCCGAACGAACTAAGTTGCGTTAGTACTGGATAGATTATTTATGGTTCCACCCGTTGAGAAGAGGGAGAAGAGCACAAAAGATACTCACGCATTGTAAATCATGACAAAAATAACAGTCAGGGTTGGGGTTGCTGCAACATCGATATAGATGAAGTAAGATATCAGAGAGAGAGAAATAATCATTGCAACGGCCCCGGAAAGCAAGATCGGGCGCCTTCCCCAGCGGTCCACGAGATACCATGGGGGAACTGTCGAGGCGAGATACGAGAGCCCATTAATTCCAGTCATCAAAATAGCATCGCGACCCGCCCAGCCTGCTGACTCAAAGACGAGTGGGGCATAATAGGATATCACATTAATACCGTTCAGCTGTGCCAATGCCTGAGCTGACATTGCGATGAGGACTCGTTTGCGATAACGCTTAAACATGTCAGTGTAGGATCTTTCACCTTCCTGCCGTTGCAGAAGGACGTCCATTTTGATTTCTCGATACTCCTGCCGGGCCTTGTCGTTGTGCAAATCCCCCTGCCCATATAGATTGGCAATGACCACCATGCCCTCTTCATCGTGATCGTTATCTAACAACCATCTGCCCTTTGTATAAGCAATATGCATGGCATGAAGATCGAATTGGCAATTTCAGATACTCACCTCGGCGATTCACATATGATGAGACTTCCTAAGCCAAGGAGGGTACCCATGATGCATTGGCATAGCAGTGGCAAACGCCACGCATAGTTACTGTCGATGTAACTGCAGAAATAGTCCACCCACACACTAGCCGCGTATCCGCAGATATTGCCGGTAAACTCGATACACGCTAACTTGCCCCTGTTGTGAGGCGGCTATTGATGCGTCAGCGGACCGGCAAAAAAGAAGGGGGAGAAGAAATCGAGTGATTCTGCATACGGATATCTCTGATTGATAGACTGGTACTATTGTTGACAATGCTCCGACGCCTAGGCCTGCAACGATACGGCCGAGCATCATCATGGGTAGACCAGTTGCGAAGGTCTGGAAAGCGCCACCGATAGAGAACACGACAGAGCCGTAGAGGATGGTCTTCCGCCGTCCTATCAAGTCGCCAATCCGGCCAACGAGTAAGGAAGAAATGAATGCACCAACTTCAAGGATGGCGACGACTGTGCCGATCGCAGCTCGCGATGGTTGATTGAAGTAATCCTTGAAGTACCAACCACTGTATTCACGTTAGTCATTTGTTTCAAAATCGCCATGCCCATCATCTCCAAGGCATGGAGGCCTTTTGCCGCAAAGTCGGAGGACGAACGTGATTATACCCGACATAACACCCTGATCATAGCCAAAAAGGAAAACACCTAATGATACGAAAACACTGGTAAAGTACCTGTATAAAGGTCAATGAAAGTACTGCAGAGCCAGGAATCAGGAAGCAGGATCTTCTTACAGTAAGGGCTTCCCAACCAAGCCATGGATCTGGGCGGTGTGTCTATTGCTTGGAGACATGATGATAGCTAACGACCGCTCTATCCTGGAAATTCGCCTAGGCGCAGGTGAGGGAATGTCGATGGATATCTTCTCAAGATCGGTCCGACCAGCGGGCGATTGAGCTATGTAGCGCCTGCGCCTTTGTCGCTTCAGTCCAGCTCGAGACCCTTCTGGACTGGCCGTTTCGCAATCCAGAGACTTCCGCAGTCGATTTTGAAGAGGCTCTTCTACATCTGCAAGCTGCTCGGCTAGGTCACCTGTGTCGGTCCAAACGGAGAATGTAGACTCGACAGTGTGACCAGACGAGTATGAGGAACGTCGACTGCCTTTCTCGCTCGCAGAATCAACACCGGCAAAGTGCCCCGAGGATGATTGCAAATGAGCGCTTATTGACCGCAGAGGTATAGTACTTGAGGTGCGTAGAGAAGACTTTGCTGAAGGAATGTTGGCGGTTGTGGTGGGCTGAAAGCGACAGCCCTTCCGCGCTCAAGAGTGGGTTCTCGGAGAGAGTTTGAAGTGATCAAAAGTGGACTGGAGATATCAAGCTCTCCAGCTCCTCCATGCAGAGTCTGGAATTTTTTTTCCCTGAAGGTAGTCCAGACAGGTGTTGTAGATTACGGCGGCAGCTTTCCGAGAGGTATGAAGACTGGTGCTGCGGGAGCTGGACGTTTTCTGGCCGAATGATGCAAGGCAACTTGGGTAGAATATTGATCCGCAGAATCTACGAGACCACGAGAGCAGATAGCGGAGACGTTGCGGTCAGAATCTATCTCAAGGGTTTAAGCTTGTAATGGATCAGCGATGCGGAGTAGCCAAGTGACACAGTTGGAGCCTGTTTAGTCAAGACTAAGTGATCAGGCGGAAAAACCAAATAAGGCAACGACAAAGGCTGGCTTAATATAGCTAGCTGAGCACTTGCAACAGCAGGGTTGTCGACCCTAGACGACGGATTGAATGTTTAGAGAAAATTATTTGACACCTTGGTATCAAATGTAAATGTTAGAGAATGGCAAGGAAGAAAAAGATAGATGGCAGTGGGTTGAAAGCACGGAATACACTTAGGCGTTTTCTTTCCCCAGAAAGTTGGGGAGAGGTGCTGAAAGTGGAGGCCAGAGAAGAGACCTAGCACACTCAGTCTACACTCAGAAGGTCGGAGCAGCCTAATCATTGCCCCTGACACCTCATTGGATGATTGGGTCATGGGTCATTTATTGCAGGTTTGCAACTTGCGGACGGGAACGGGACGGAATGTCCTTATGGAGTAAGTACCTCCTCCAGATAGACTGTCAGCGTAGACTAAGGTACGGAGTACCTTGGGTACTTACGGAATATGCCCGGCCAAGAGATGAGAATACGTGGTAAGATATCCACTGTACTATGTCATTTAACCCAATAATAACTATTTAATGATACCTAAGGTACCTTAGTCACTGCCTTACTGCTCCATACCTGGCTTCATTCGAAAAGGAAAGCCGCCTTAAGATGAAAGTCTACGGTAATTATTCTCCATACTTCAACTGTGAGTTGTCTAGGAAGATATCTGTATGCCCGCTTTTAAAATGGGTCTATAGGTATCATACCCCCTACCTTCTCCATGCTAAAAAAGGTTATGAATATGAAAATGGCTGTTGAGGCACCAATAATGAATAATGTATCGACAAGGTAGATACTCCGTACACCTCTTCTACCATTATTGAGACCCAGCCGAACAGTCCACTAGTTATTCATTGCATCTGAAATCGAGGCCAACAATTAAGTAGATCCTGTTATGGGCAGTGAGCCAATAATGGTGGGGGCCTCACCTCTATTCTCAAGGTACCTTACTCTACGCAACACGGTACCTCCTAGGAAACATCTCAGCGATCCTAAAAGTGACGGTACTCTGTAGTACAGTTGGTACTCTAAAACACCTTGTCGGAACTTCCAGGTCGAAGCGGGATGCACCTTGGGACTTCGAAACCCAGAGTATGAATAGAAAAAGAAGCTCTTCATGATGCCTTCTGACGATTGAGCATATGAATTGTCCGTTCAGACTGATTAGATCTGGCCGTGGTCTCTCTTGTGCCGTCACCAGAGTCTCACCTGTGACCACAATTTCATGAATGGGAGGTTAAATATCTGAGGCCTTGCCATTGAAAGCAGGTCAACCTGTCAGTATTCTAGTGTACTTCCTCTATACCTACGGATGGTCTGGCTACATTATACTGCCTGGCGAAAGTACTGGCGTAATGTTTACAAAAAAGTACGCAATAGGACTGACTTGACTGGGACCATTACGCAAATGTCATCACAGGCATAGCCTACATCAGCATCTCAGGAGGCAAAGTCCCATAATCTGGTCAAATATGGTAATATTGTCAGGACAGCGAGAGGCCAGACAATCTTATAGAAGTGCCGTGTGAACAGTCATCTGACATTAACTCCATGAATATAGTACAAGGGCCTGAGATAAGACCCGACCTCTCCATTCACTCGCACAGAAGTTCAGGAAAAGGGCTCGAGGCGAGATGACATGTAGAAGCAGCGAAAATCAACATCAATATGCGTCTTCGAATATTCTATCACTAAACATTGGTACCAGAACAAATCAATGAGCGCTCATCCTGACAATGATACAATCACTGACCAGACTTTTCTCTCAAGTCAGAAGAATGTCGTAGCCGTCTTTCTGAATATAGATGGCGTCAGCCAAATTAGCATATTTGCGACGCACAAGTTCGAATATCACAAGCCCAGCACTAGTGCTAGGCACTTGGCGAAGAGCATTTCCTACAAACCCCTGAAATAACCATTTACGCCAACCACCAGCACGTGCTGCTCTCCTCCTGCAGCGTTTGAATGTTTCTCGATAAGCGGAATAATAGACTTGCATCATCTGCCCTTTCGTGGAGATCAGGTTAGCCTGATGATCAAGATATTCTAGTCGAGAATAATGAATGTTCTGGATAGCACTCAGCGGATGCTGTACGGCCTGCTGCGCAATTGACGCTGCCACACCGGCTAACATCAGGAAGCATGGCTCTAAGCTATAGTGAGGTTTGATGAGCGGGACCCCACGGTCACTTGATTGAGGGTCTCGCAGACTGTCCAGCTGATGAGTGCGAAGTGACCCGTAATATCTTGTAATGAAAGAATAATATGCTTGCGACTTTATGTACTCGAAAGTACTGAAGAAAACAGCGTATCCAAATGAGTCGCGCAGAAGTGACAGGCTCCAGCCTGCGAAAATGCCGCGAAGACCGATTTCTTTGAGTTTGTTCTGTCCATAGTGCCACATACTGCGGTACTGACCATGGAGAATGTCATTCGTCCGTAGTCGAACGTGGAGAGCATCTAGAGGCGCAGCTACAACTGACTGTACCGTACCAGCGGCAAAGCCAGCTGCAAATGTATCAGCAGGAGATGCAGGAGGGTATATACGCTTGACACTTCGGGAAACGGGTTCATATAGGATGCCAAGGGCCTGTAGATACGACGTATACAGGACAACACCAACGCTAACAGCAGATGTTAGGCCCAGAGTGACCGAAGGGAGAAAGGGCGGGCTTAACTCACCCTGCATTTGCCAACATAGGTGGTAAAAGCTGATTGGGGATGAACCGCCAACCATAAGTACGAACGGCATGGACGAGAAGACCAGGTGTCGTTGTATGTAATGACCAACGCTTTTCAGCGGAATGAGGGTTGACAGCTCTTGCGAATGCCTAATGGGAACGTTTCGAGTGGAACAATCATCAGCTCATGTCGGGCACGATGAGTATAGGAGTCCTAAGATTCGGAGAGAAGAAGCCAGGAAGTGTTTAGACTGGTATACGGACCATATAACTGCAAGTGTGTCAACAAATCTCACTCTGAGTAGCGAGAGGGAAAAGTGCATACTCAACTCGAGTGCGAAAAAAGGCCTTCACGGGAGCTCTGAAGTAGAAAGCAACCATCTGCGCACTGACTGCACGAACACCAGCTGCCGAAGCGCCAGTAGCTGCATCATTCCGAGGGTTTCTTCTAGTAGACTTGCTGGATTCTGCGCCAGAGACATTGTCATCGAGGCGTACTTGATCCCCAAGGGAAATGGTATCCTCAGATGACATTATGCGGATGACTGAGCGCGCCCTTCTCCATCGGGACGTATATGCATTCAGATCACAAAAGCTCGCGGAGAGGATGATTATCAGTTGCGTATCCGGATATTTTACCAATCCTCGCCTAAAAAGAGGTAGCAGAATATGGAGAAAAGAATCGAGATGAAGGATAACACAAGTTGAGAAACATTGAGATTATCAATGTTGGATCACCTTTTCAGGAAAGGGGTAGGCATGATAATAAATAAAAAGAAGACCCAAAAAAAAAAAAAATAATGTCTTACAGTGATGTGAATCTAAAAGGTAATACGTCTCCTACTCCTGTAAATGTTTACTTCAGTCATTAGAAACTTTTTCATTGCTTTCCGTTCCAAGAGTCTAATTAAGAGTTAGCATACCATGCAAAGGATGCAAACTGCTCAAACATGGGAAAACGCGTAGCACCAGCCTCGCGTGTACGACTTCAGACTTCTCTATTCTCCGTTCTTACATAGTCCTGTGCACTGTCACATCCTCGAACTTTTGTGTTTACCATAGTCACGTTACCGAATTCAGAGATTAAGGCGATCAGAGAAGCTTGACGAGACTTGTGAACTTCTAGTTCTTCAGGCAGGCTTAGCACACCCTGCACGACAATCTCACTTTCAACGCCATCAGATCATGGCTGAAGAGATTGTGATAGACAAGACTTTGTTTTTCAATCGGTTGTCAAGCTTCTACGCGGCATGGAGAGCGGACAAACGCTCAAGTCACCCCACATTTGGTGGTGTTGGCTCGATTGTCATCTTGATGGGCAAGACTGATGAGGCGAATACTTTTCAAAAGAATAACGCTATGCATGTATGTTCAATCCCTGCCACTACATTTGGTGCTTCCTTTGCGACGCTAACATAATTGTCGGTTGACTGTTAGTTCTGGTTGCTGGGTTATGAGTTTCCAGCCACGCTTCTCGTCTTTACGTTGGAAGCTGTTTATGTTGTGACAACTGCGAAGAAAGGTAAATCTTTACGTCCGAAGTACAGGGGCTTTTTGCTGAATAGAGGGTGCCCACTCAGCCAAGCATCTTGAGCCGTTGAGGGGTGGCAAGATCCCAGTTGAAATACTGGTTACAACGAAGGATCCTGAAGGGAAATTGAGGTCTTTCGAGAAATGCATTGAAGTCATCAGAAGCACTGGTGTAAGTGCTCTATCATGTGACATTGCTGTTGTGTTGTTACTTGAAACTAATTTCTTCGTCCGTATGAAGAATAAAGTCGGTGTTTTACCGAAGGACACAACTGCAGGTCCCTTCGCGGAAGACTGGAAGCGCACTTTTGCGACATTATCTGGCGAAATAGAGGAAGTTGACATTTCGCCGGCTCTGTCGGCTGCATTTGCAGTGAAAGATACCGACGAGTTGGTGCGTTGAAAAGGAGCTTACTGTTTGGGGAATTGGGGAGGACAATTAGCTAATATTGTACAGGTGTCCATAAGAAACGCTTCACGAGCTTGCAGTGGCTTGATGTCTGAATACTTTGTGGAGGAAATGTCACGCCTTCTCGACGAAGAAAAGCAAATGACTCACAAGGCTCTCTCCGCGCGGGTCGATGCAAAAATCGACGACGCTAAATTTTTCAACAAACTGGGCAAACTACCGGCCGAGTTCGACGCTCAACAGATTGACTGGGCCTATGGACCCGTCATTCAAAGCGGGGGAAAGTATGACCTTAGACTCACAGCAGTGTCTGATAACAGCAATCTCGAACCGGGCATTATTATCGCTGGATTCGGGATACGGTATAAGACTTACAGTTCAATGATTGCACGGACCTACTTAGTGGATCCGAGTAAGTCTCAAGAGACAAACTATGCCTTTCTTCTGGCTTTACATGAAGCGGTTATGAGAGATGTGCGCGACGGCACAATCGCCAAAGACCTATACAACAAGGCGATCAATTTAATCCGGACGAAGAAACCGGAGCTTGAGTCCCACTTTGTCAAGAGCGTCGGTGCTGGTATCGGAATTGAGCTTCGAGACCCTAACATGGTGCTGAATGGGAAAAACAGCAGAACACTGAAAAGCGGCATGACTCTCTCTGTCACAGTGGGACTAACAGACGTTGAAGACCCGGAATTGAAAGGAAGCAAGAGCTCAACTTACTCTATGGTCATCACAGACACCGTTCGTGTGGGAGAAAATGGGCCACATGTGTTCACCAAGGATGCAGGTCTTGACATGGACTCCGTATCATTCTACTTCGGAGACGAAGAGGAACCTCAAAAACCCATCAAGGAGAAAAAGGAAGCGAAAACCAGTGCTATCGCCAGCAGGAACATCACAAGAACGAAGCTCCGAGCGGAACGGCCAACTCAAATAAATGAAGGTGCTGAGGCGCGTCGCCGCGAGCACCAAAAGGAGCTAGCCGCTAAAAAGACAAAAGAGGGCCTTGATCGATTTGCTGGAACTACCGGAGACGACAATGGAGTTACGCAGAAAAAATTCAAACGGTTCGAATCGTACAAGAGGGATAATCAATTGCCAACAAAGGTGAGAGACCTCACTATATATGTTGACCAAAAAGCATCTACAGTAATAGTTCCCATAATGGGTCGACCAGTCCCGTTCCATATCAACACAATCAAGAATGCAAGTAAAAGCGACGAGGGCGAATATGCGTACCTCCGCATCAACTTCCTTTCTCCCGGCCAGGGAGTTGGTAGGAAGGACGACCAGCCTTTCGAGGATCTGTCGGCTCATTTCCTGCGAAACCTGACTCTTCGTTCTAAGGACAATGAGAGGCTGGCTCAGGTTGCCCAGGATATCACTGAATTGAGGAAAAATGCTTTGAGGCGGGAGCAAGAAAAGAAAGAGATGGAAGACGTTGTAGAGCAAGACAAGCTCATTGAGATCCGAAGTACATCCTTTCACCGCCCAAATCTGTTGCCAATGCTAATCACTCATAGACCGCCGTCCTGTGAAGTTACCTGACGTCTACCTTCGGCCTCCTTTGGATGGGAAGCGCGTTCCGGGTGAGGTCGAGATACATCAGAACGGTCTTCGATACATGTCTCCGTTCCGAAATGAACACGTCGACGTGCTCTTCAGCAATGTGAAACACTTGTTCTTCCAACCGTGTGCTCACGAGTTGATTGTCCTCATTCACGTCCATCTCAAAACGCCTATCATGATTGGGAAGAGGAAAACGAGAGATGTGCAATTTTACCGGGAGGCCACCGAGATGCAATTCGACGAGACTGGCAATCGCAGACGCAAACATCGCTATGGAGATGAAGAGGAATTCGAAGCTGAACAAGAGGAAAGGCGACGCAGAGCAGCATTGGACAGAGAATTTAAGGCCTTCGCTGAGAAGATAGCTGATGCCGGGAAAGACGAGGGCGTTGATGTCGACATACCATTTCGAGAGATTGGTTTCACTGGCGTCCCCAACCGCTCCAATGTTCTGATACAACCGACCACTGATGCCCTCGTGCAATTGACGGAACCCCCCTTCCTAGTCATCACCCTGAATGAGATTGAAATTGCCCATCTCGAGAGAGTGCAGGTAAGGTTCTACTAGTGTTATGATTAACATTATTGTTTTGCTGATGGATTTGCAGTTTGGTCTCAAAAACTTTGACCTAGTCTTCGTATTCAAGGACTTTCACAGGGCCCCTGTTCATATAAACACGATACCGGTGGAGTCCTTGGAAGGCGTGAAAGATTGGCTGGATTCCGTCGATATTGCTTTTACCGAGGGACCTCTGAACCTCAACTGGACAACCATCATGAAAACGGTTGTGAGTGATCCTTACGGTTTCTTTGCGGATGGAGGTTGGTCCTTCTTAGCCGCAGAGTCTGATTCGGAGGACGGATCGGAAGAGGAGGAGGAGTCTGCATTTGAGCTCTCCGAGTCGGAATTGGCGGCGGCAGATGAGAGTTCTGAGGACGATAGCGAATTTGACGACGATGCTAGCGCGGAGGCAAGCGATTTCAGCGCAGAAGAAGAGAGTGGTGAAGATTGGGATGAGCTCGAAAGGAAAGCTAAGAAGAAGGATGGGGAAGGCGGCTTGGATGATGAAGAACATGGCAAGAAGCGAAAACGGTAGCGTGGTTTATGCGACTTCTCATCCAATAATCTTGAGTTTCATCGATCGGCCTTTCATGGACTACTCTTTCATATAGGTTATCTTCGATGATAATGGTCATGTATTAGCTCAATAGAATCTTGCGGATACCGGCTTTGCTTTGACAGTGCATCTGGGTAGGTGAATAATGGCTAGACTCATGCTCAACTAGCTCTAGTTGCATCTTGTGCTGGTTAATTATGGGGTTAGACAGCAAATGTTGAGCATGGGAGATTCCCTAGTCGAAAGGGCGATAACTTAAAAGTAACACAGTAAGATATCGCATGGTGGCCAGAGAGCGATGTCTCACCAAGGTCTATTTACAAACACTATTGAGTACTGAATAGATAATCAGAATTTGTCCCAGGCGAGATGTTATTTTCCTTTCCTCATGGAGAACCACATGTCTCGCATTCTCTTCAGCTGATTAGATGTAAAGGAAGCATAACAGTCATCAGATGAATAGTCCATGAAATTATGTATGTCGTCCAAGCCAGGGCTATCCGGGCATGAATCCTTCTGAGAAGGGCACCCATCAGTAGGCACCGACTGCTGCGGTGTGTCTGCAATGTAATCACCAGCATTGTCTTTCGAACACGACTCCCCTTCGAAAGTATGTAAGAGACCATTCCAGTGACCAATTTCGTGTATTGCAGTACCACCCCGATTGTAATGAGTCATGGGGCCACCAGGCATAGTCTTAGCCAGCACATTGCAGCCATCTTTGGAGTAACTGACTCGAGGGCTGCTGGCGTTAATGCTCGGATCCGGAAGAGTGCAGAAACCAAGGACGCTAGGGGAGGCAAGGTCTGAGTTATATGCGTGGCGATTGTCACCTTCAGAGGTCCATCTCGCAAAGTCCGTGGTGGAGGGTGGCTGTAGATTGGTCTGAAAGTAGACATTTAACGTGCTGTAACCTCCCTTGCGAAGTGCTTTCTTCATGGCGGAGTCATCCCCATTGCGCGCCCAAGTTTTATTAATATGACGGGTGACGCCCTTTAACCGATAGGATATTGAAGCGTTTTCATAGGCTTTTTGCAAATAATGTAACTTCGAGATTGTCAACTAGCTGAAGAGTAACCACGACGCAGCCGTCTCCGATAAATGTAAACTGACCTGAAGTATGACCATCTCGTCTGTTACTAAATCTGCATCGGTTTCGCCACTCACAATGTGAAACCACGTCTCTATCTCAATGGGCTCCAAGGCTCTTCGCATGTCGTAAGATACGCTACTGGGTTTCGATTCGAACGCGCCTAGTCTCTCATGTTCAGCCCTGAATGCTGCATCTGGACCACCAGTGGCACAAAGAGAACGGCCCTGTAAAGCCGTCGCACGACATAGAGTTCGGCGGTCCGACATGAGACTTATAACAAGCAAGACATAAACGCAGGGAATGGAAGGCAACATCGTGTTGAGGAAGCTTGTCGCAGAGCATCTTGGCTTCAATCTCTGAAGGCTGAATGGAATTTATAAAGTACATCTTGTTGCTATTGGAAACTGGAATGTTTGGTGTTGATTACCCGTAGACAGGAATGTCGTCTCTGACAGGGAAGTGCCTGACAAGGGACAAGTGGAGAAATTCCAGTCCGAAGTGTGCACATTCTGAAATTTGTTATAATCACCAATTGAGGAATCACGCCTATTCAGGAAACAGTCTCAGAATCAACATCTTGGCAAAAGAAGATTAGCACATACTGTAATGCTTAGAGCAATGGCAGTGATTCGGCCCGATAATCATTTGAACACCTTGAAAGCAGCAATGACAGAGCGGGCAAAAAATAAAAATAAAAATTTAAATAAAAATTTAAATTTAAAATTTAAAATTGAAAAAAAGAAAGAGAGAGAGAGGGAGGGAGGGAGAGAGACTACCCAGTCAATATCATACCGCACGGAACAAGGCAATTTGCTGGTTGAGCCTGTATCAATGGGCATGCGGCCCAAATCTGTCATTCCTGCCTGTAGCAGTGACTGTACTTTCCTGTTCATTATTCCAGGTCAAGTAAGTGTGATCGCCGAGTTTCCTAACCACAGTAAGCTTTACTAGTTGTCGAGCAGAGGAACAATATTACATACCTTGGTCGTACTAAATGGGCAAGGGTAAACAGAGCCCCAAGAAGGACGCAGATACCGCCAACGACGACATAAGCTATACCCATGAAAGGATTTTGTCCCCCAATGACAGTTCTGGTGGAGATGAGAATTGACTTCGTGCCACCATACTCAGTAACCGGAAACCCTAGGGCCCAATTAGCCAGCGGTAAGGTGAATTGCATAGCGCGAACGAACGATCTTCAATATCCAGGCGATAAGAGCCAGCTTTCATAGACACGTTGTCATTTCTGCGGGACAGTTTGCTGAAAGCCGGTAGAGCAGCGGTCCTCATCCAAACCATGAAGTCTTCATCTTCATGAAGGTCGGGGATACCGTCAATATACCCATTTGGGTAACGGTCGTGCCAATTCGGTGGCGGCACAACTTCCCATGGCTTGTATTGTGTGGTTTTAATAAGTTCCTTATCACTATCCCAGGCGATGCCCTTGTTAGTCATGAAGTACACCGTCGGGTTCAAGTCACTGAGGAGTTCAGGGCTGTGTATTGTGTCATTGAATTGTGAGTTCGCAATGAGTCCGCACGGGTAATAAGCCTTTCCAGTAGGGTCGAGTTTAAGAGGATCACATGAGCCACCATCGATGGTCTTATTGTCAACAGCTTTGCCTTTCAACTGATCTATATCCAATGACTTCACGTATCGCCGATGGTTCTGGTAAAAGTTGGTAAGACGATAGTATAGAAAGACTGGAGGCCCTAAATCGTCCGGTACTTCGAAACTCAGCCGACAAATGGTGGTCCCGTTCTCTATACGACGCTCCCATGTCGGGGTAGACTGTCCAGTCGATGACTTAAAGGATGACTTAACTCGGTCTGCAATTGAGACTGGGTAAGAAGGGGCCTTTTCCGCGCATTCTGAATAATCTATAGATATCTCTTGGACCTTATCATTGTGCTATGTCAGATGCAATGCGCATGAAATTTTGAATCGACAATACATACTTGGGAGCTAGCCCACAAGAGAAGGCCACCGATCGGTGCAAATATGATGCCGAATACAAAGAAGATGGGCAGAACGCTTCGCGGCGTGAGAATTGGTCTATGGTGTCGATGCGTTAGCAAATTTAGGTATAATCGACAATATAGTTAGATTTAGATCTTACTGCCAGGCTTTTAAGCGCTGTTGTCTGAAAGCAGTGTCTGTTATTGGGCTGTAAGTATTGAGGAAAGAGGTATCCACGGAGTTTTATTAAAAGACTGAGAGGGCTCTTACTAGCAGGTCTCCTAGTCTTTGGCTTCTTATCGCTGTCAGTCTGCCCTCCACGAGCTTGATCTTTGAGAGACCCTGTTTGAGGGGTTTCCACATGAGACATATCGATATGATTAATTTCTAAATGACTTTCAATGGGGGATTGAATATGAAGAGGTTCTGGTCGGTCTAAACCATTAAGAGTTGTCCAGCGGTTAGTTAGATAGAAAGTAGTACTAATAAGGAGTTAAGGGACCATTCGGGTGGCGTCCTCGAATCATATATTACGGTACTTTCCGTTGACTCGAATGCATGCCTTAGTGTCTTCCACTTTCCACTTCAGAAGTCCAGAGTCCAGATTCACTGACATCCGACTTACGTACTAATTTACTGAACGACTACCTTAATAAGCAACTACTTAAGGTTATTTCAGATCTTTGCCTTGGTTTTTATGTATTAACCTCAGGGGCAGCTCATAGGTTCCAAAAGACCCTGTGATTATTGTTGGAACCTGTTACACTAGGTAGTCGAACCAGGTTGATGAAGGACGGTATAAATCTCAACCTATGTCCGTTTAGAAACGCTATAGGAAAATTGTCGATTGATATTGTATAGAGTGAATCTGTGACTTGTCAGTGGTTTCTGCACTAATCAAGGACACCCTTGCAGGCTAACTCTGGAACCTGCGCTGGGTATAACTGAGTACTAAAGCTAAGGTATTGATGGAAAATCATAGGTACATTCTGCATAAGCCTATAACAGATAATGTTACGAGACATGCTGGCAGCCCTTTAGGGTACGACCGTAGTTTGACAGTCATATAACGACCTGTTGAAAATCAAGCATGCCGGGATTGCCGAAAGAGAGCGCCTGAACCAAGTTGTACCAAAGTTTACAAATTAGTCAGGTGGATAAGTAAAAAAGGAACCAGCAAATAACTTATGCGGAGTCTTTCTATTTAAAGTTAGAACTGATAAGGGATTAGATGCACAGTCCAGCCGTGCGGCTCTCATAAACCAAAGAGCAGAAGAGGTCTGGAAAGGAAAGAACTTGCCCCATTCCAAAGGCTATAATCATCGATTCGCTATTAAGTAACCTGGTCCAAGTCCAACTCCCACAGAATAAACCTAAAATAACACTAATCGCAACATAGCAAGGTATGAGTATTATCGACCAATAAAATTCGCCAATTGCTAAGGTCACTCTAAATATTGCTGAAAGTGTTCCGAATCGAACCAGCCGACACGATCATAAGCGGTCCACAACTTGCTCGCTTTGTTGACATCAATCTTGCAAGCTTGCTGGGCATCTGTTTTGCGGAACTCTTTGCCAATCCTTAAAGCTCTCACACGAGCCTCGAAGATGCGGCGTTTGCTGCATAAGTATGTTGCGCACGAGAGCCTCAAGGTAGAGGCAAGGCTGAGCTCAGCCGGGCTCAAAAGGTGCCGGTCTGGATCCTGGCTAAGATCTAACATCTGTCCTTTCCAGTCTGCCTTCAATGCCTTCGCATTGCCGCCAAGCGTTTCTGGTGAGGGTGAGAAATCTTTGATGGAAGTATAATCTGTGTCATCCCGATTTGTTCCTATGCCTCTGGGAGGCCTAGCACTCGTCTGAGTAGGTAAGTCAAAGGATTCATGCGCCTTCTGATGCGGCGTAGATTTGGGGGAACGCTTGGCCCGCGGTGTTCGCTGTGCGCGAGGCTGTGTGGCAACCGCCCGTTTGCTTGGTGCGGGCGCAATCTTCTTTAAATTTGCATCTAAAATTTTTGGTCGACGACGATTCATCATGAACAGTTGACGCTCAAGTGTCTCGCGTTCCTCCTTCGCCCAGGCAGCAGGATTCCGGTTATACTGGGCGGAAACGACTGGCACACAGGAGAGCGCTAAGAGATACTCATCACGTGTTGGCTTATTCACTTTGTTATCAAATCTTGCCATGTGAGAATCGATATGTTGTTCCATTAAAACCTCTGCTGGGGCGGGAAGAATCTGCCCAAACAAGGGCTCATCAGTGGCAACATCTGTCAAAGAATCGTGATGGGGGAACAGAACAGGATCTCTCGAGGAACTGAGCACGGCATCTCGCTCGATTTCTTCTGAGACATCCGATTTTCTTTTCTTATTTCCAGTGTACGGAGTGACGGGCGGCGATGGTAAATCCATTTCTGACTGCGTTCGCTTCCGTTCGCCAGAAATGGGAGGAAGTTTCATGCCATGGACAAACGAGCAATAATCCTGCGATGTCGAAAAAGGGGACAGTGAGGTATTGAAATTCTCGAACGGTTTGGATTCAGGAGGTGACATGAGACTGGAAACAGAAGGTAGGCGACTCATGGCGAGTTTATGATTTTGGTCCAACGGCGTTGGGGGTGTATACGGGTTCATTCTATTGATAGAGATGGGACTCAGGAGGGCAAAAAATGAGCTGGGTTGGAATGGGAAGTGAAGAATAGTGATATTGGATATGATTTGGGTTTGTTGGAAATATAATGCCTCAAAAGGCAGTTGATGATGAAGGCTGATGCGAGAGTGTTAGTAGAAGTCAATGGAAAGGTGACTGTCAACCTAATGTTGGCAAAACACACGTGAAAGGTGATTTGTCAGGGCCGCTTCCTTTGTCTAGGGTGGCAATGGACAGATATGACTCAGAGAGTAATAAAACTCCCAGCCACTGGGTACTTGAGAGTCGGTTCTTCCTTATTGAATATGACTGGGAACCTGATGGTTCAATGCTGGAAGAGGGGACGGGGGGTTGTGATGAGCCTTGTTGACAAATGACTTGATAGTCTTTAGGTTTTCCCAAATGGACTTTAAGAGTAGATCTGACGATGAGTCAGTGCAGTGATGGCTTAGATTTAGCTTGTCAGTAGATAGTGTCATCACAGGGCAGTAATAAATATGGATGCGGGGGCGCGTGCAGTGATCCAGTCAGGTGTTACTCTTGAGGTAGTGTATGCTGACATCTAATGGGCAGGTTTTGGGGGTAAAGATGTAAGAATACTAGAGGTATGGATATAGAGAAGATATGAATTGTCAATCTAAAGGTGTAAAAATCTAAAATA